ACGAGGAAAAACGTCCAATTTCGTATAAGGCTAAGGTACAAGCCCGACGTACGACCAAAATGGCACAACATCGCACGGTAAACGATGACGATCGATAGTGCCCGACGTGGACAGCTATACCGAGCCCCACCGTCGTTGTACCCATAAGGCAGAACACCCAGCTCGCGATGGGCAGTTCACGCCAAGGGCGAATCGTCCCTAACGGGCTCCACGCCCGACTGAGCAACTTCGCTCCGAAATGCCCGACATTCCATCAAGAATAACGGGCCATCTAAAAGGGTCAAAGGGAAATCTCTCCCCTCGAGCACAACACTTAGGTAACCCTGGCCAGCGAAAAAGGGCCGGGCACGCATACAAACGAAGGCGGACAGAATCGTTCGCCAAATCAAAGCCACTTACGGGCACTTCTCGGGCCCATGACTGAGGCTAAAAATTCATGCAAATATACGATTTCAAACAAGGGCAAAAAATCCAAAATGTAAAATAGCATTAATATAAATGCCCGAAGGCGACAAAACAGTAATAAACCGACCAAGAAGGTCGGCGATGTTCATAACGTACAATAAACGGGCACGCAGGCCCAAAGAATACAAATATCAAGGGCACGCAGGCCCGCTATCCTATTCAGACCTCCCCGGAATCATCATTGTCGGCGTTTGGAGAGTCGGGAGGAGGAACGATCACGCCATCCACGATCTGATGTGTGTGGCCGATACCCTCAGTGACCAGGCCAGGGTTTAGCAAGGAGAGTTGACCGACCGCAGAGTTGAACCCGTCCTCCAGGGCACCGACGCAGTCTACCTCGAGGAGCCGGATATGGGCGACCAGCTCCACCCGACTCTTCAAAGCTACTATGTCCTCGGGCTCGTCCTCAGCAGGTTGCAGGGCAGCATTCATTTCCTCGACCTGTTGGGCCAAGCGTTCGACTTCGGCCACCAGACGATCCCTGTCTGCCCGAAGAAGCTCCCCTTCCTCGGCCAACTTCCCCGACTTCTCCTTCTCCAGGGTCAACATCTCCCTCTCAGCATCGAGCATCGCAGTCTGCTCTCGGAACATCCCCTCGGAGCGTTCCAGAGCGACCTTCAGCTTCCGCGAGCTCGAGGTCAGGGCCGCCTTCTCCTGCTCGAGTTCTTCAACACGGGCAGAATCCCCTCCATCCTCGGATAGCACCAAAGCCATCTCGGCCATTTTTACCAGCCCATCCATGCTGGCGGCCAGATACGCCTTCTGTTCCTCTTTACTCATCTTTTTTATGGCTGCAGCTTCGTGGGCAACCACTGTCGGAGGGAATCGCTCGAAAAAGCCCGCCTCTTCGAAGCAAGGGGGGAAGGCGAAAGATTTAACAGCACCGGCGTCCTCGCCAACAGTCGGACCACCTTCCACACGGGTCCTCTTCCTCTGCATCAAAACGGCACTGGGGTCGATCTCCTCGACTTCTGGATCCGACGCGGGCCCCGAGCTTGACGGCGAGTCCACCCTCACTGGCTGAGGAGCATTTGGACTGGGTGGTGGGCCCATCCTCTTCGCCTGTGGGGCCTTCACGACCCTCCTGCCTCGCCTCTGGTCGCAGGATAATTTCAAGAGCCTTTCATGTCGACTAGCCATCATACCTGCACAAAATAAAGGTTAGATCAGTATCGAGCAAACTTCATAAATAAATGACGAATAAAGAATTTCAAGCAACAAACAACCTAACAGGCGGGCAGCTTGCATGTACGTCGGGCACTCCACCAGCGCCTTGGTGTCAATCGGACGGGACTCGAACGTTGGGTAACCATCTTTGTCCAGGATATCATCCCCTTCCCGCGTAACCCACCGGGCGGGATGGAAACTATCGACAAACCGGCAAAGAGCGTCGTACGCCTGCTCGTCTTCCGAGCACATGTCCCCGGCTGCAGTATGATAATAACCGGTCCCATGCTCGTAATGCTGGGACATCCAGTGCACAGGGACTTTAGCTGTACGGCCCAACACAGGGTTCCCATCGTCGCCCAACATCGCCTCCCCGTCTTCGTCGCTCACCGGCTCCTCCTCCTCGAAAAGGGAATTTATAGCAGAATTGGTAACTGGCCGCACCATGTACCACTTGTCTTTAAACCCCCTCACGGAGTCCATATACATCTTGAAGAGTCTCCTCGACTGCTTCAGGGAGACCCAGCTATGTTTCCCTCCTCGGGACTGACGCTGCAGGTGAAATATCCGGAAGAAAAGCGGGATGGTCGCCCCGATCCTCAGGTAGCGACACGTCAACTCAAACGCCCGGATGAAGGCGAGAGAGTTTGGATGTAGCTGGGACGGGGCCAGCTCCAGGTGGGTAAAGACCCCGGCCTGAAAATCAGTGAAGGGCAGCCGCAGCCCTAGGTCTTTGAACGCGATCTCATACATCGCGAAGCTATATTCCGGATAAACCGAGCAAATCCTTGCACGGGATGAAGGGCGCATGACTACGAAGTTCTTCTGGAAGCCGGGCTGGTCTTGACCCTCTTCGATGACAGCGTATGGATGTCGGTCATCCCGGCTGTAGACCGACGCTATCCCCCGTGGCTCGACGCCCACCCATTCCAGCAAAGGGTCGGTCACGGTATCAATCAGGGTGACCGACTCGTCGGCACTCTGTTCTTCACGGTCGCGGCGTCCGGAGGAGCTCGGCTCGTCCGCCATGGTTACCTGCAGAGCACGGGAAACCAGTCAGTTGAGCACGAAGCCATACGCTCGACAAATCACGTCGTCCCATGCACAACTACATAAGTCCGTTTTCCACGAATGATTGCCTCCCCGACATCCGGAACCCGGTGTTCTTCCTCAAACAAACTGCGCGGTCACTCCCCAAGCATGTCGACCCAGGGTATGAACATGGCGAGCCACACCATGAAGCCCACGGCCAAGACCATGAACATACCGGGCGCGATCATGAATCAGGCGCCCTGGATCATGAAGACCCCGGGCAGCTCTGAAGTTTATCACCTAAAACTATGAATGCGCCGGCCACAAACATGCGTTTGCCGGTCCTAAGCATGAATGTGTCGGGCTAAGCATGAGTTTACCGGGCTAATCCCACGCGCACGGTCCTAAAACATCTACAAACGCCAGAAATCATGCATTCTAAACAGAAAAATGAAGAAGATAGATCACTTACTTGGATCAAAGAGTGGGATTTGGCTACGGAATAGAAGAATCTGTGACGGAAAGTCGCAACTGGAGAAAATCTGGAAGAGCAGCAGCAGAGAGAGCACAGAGAGTAGAAACGTATTATGGGGCCCAAGGTTCCTATTTATAGTGATGACGTGGAATACCAAACGTCACCTCGGGAAACCACGGACTCCATCTCCTCGACGCGCTGCTCCCAACGCAATGATGACCCTACCCCCATAGGGTGGCGGCACAGTTCCCGAAAGATACCTCGTGTGCTCGACAGACGCGCCCGGTAAGGATCCTCCACGCATCCACCGCCGAAGATGTCTCCGAGCACGACACGAGGAGGCCCTCGAGGGCCCACACCTCTATCCCGGGCACGAGACCTCAACGAGGGAATAACTTGGGTTCAAGTCATGGCTCCTCGCAAAGGAACCACGACTTGGGGGGCTCCTGTTCTGGACTGGGCCCGACAGGCCCAAAAGCATTGCTAAGGCCCAGTCCAAAGGGACTTACTGAGGACCACGCCGACCAAAGGGTCACAGCCGTGCCCGACATCCTGATGTCCAGCTCGACATCCTGCTGTCCAGCTCCACGTCCTGATGTCTAGCTCCACGTCCTGATGTCCAGCTCCACCTCCTGATGTCCAGCTCGACGTCTTGCCGTCCAGCTCCACGTCCTGATGTCCAGCTCGACACCCTGCTGTCCAGCTCGACATTGCCTCGAGCATCCCAACTAGGGCAGACTCAGTTCACTATTCCCCCAACGAGACTCCGGAAAGACCGCGTCTCCGTCCGCCCGCACTTCACGCAGAACATCCAGGAGGGGGACCACGTGCGGGTCCCCACTACCCACGTAGAACCTGGCAGTTCCTCCATTGGGCCAAACCTGCCCGGCCCAATGAAGGAACCTTGGCCCAGCGCTGGGGGCTATAAATACCCTCTGCTTCCAGAGGGTCAGGTATTCATCATTCTAACCTCAACTTACTATTATCTGCTCGTACTCCTACTTACTTCAGCATCGGAGTGCCTTGCAGGTACCCCCCACTTCGTTCAAAAAAACTTTCTGCTCGGAGTCAGCCGTGACGATCCATTTCTGATCAGGTCAGATCAAAATGGAATCTTTTTTGTGAGAGTTTAAGAAAATATGAAATAAAGTCTTTAATGAAATTTAAGAAAGAGATTACATATATAAAACTATACCCTCCAGAAGATTATTGTCATACAAGTTGCGCACATAAAGAAGCTTTCGGAAAGGGGCGTTATGAGGTTTTCATAAAGTTTTTAAGAAACACAAAACATGTAAAGACAATTCCCTTCTTGAATTATTGTTCTTGATTGGATTAAGCCCACACTCCCCGACCAAAAACATACCCACATACTAACCAGTAAAGATTGTACGAAACAGTAGCGGAGACAACGTTACTAACTAATAAGATATAATCTAGTTGCTAAAAAAGTATATTAAGTTAGTAAATTTTAACCAGACAATAATTTGTTTGAGAACATCACATTTGGAAATTTTGCACTTAGTATATGCTCACATACAAATAAAAAAATAGTTTCACATATCCTAAATGGAGAATAACTAGTTCAAAATTCAAAGTTGTTCCTCCATATAAATAATGCTTTTAGCAATATGAGTGACTATAGGAGACAAAAGATGCAGATCTTATACATGAATTTCTAATAACCACTCCATCAGCAAATTATTGCCAAGGAACTTGAATTTTTTTTCTAACTATGATATTCTATCATTCTTCACATAAGAAACCAAAAAATAAATAAATTAAGCAGAGAGAACCACTTTTACACTTGAAGACATCCTATGAATGTGAACCTCAACAAAGATCATTATAATAACTAGAATTACTCTTCAAAGATTTCTTCGGATTCTGAGTTTCCAGCTGTGGTTTCATTATGAGTTGAATGTTAGTGAAACAGTAAAAAAAATAAACAGAGAAACATTTCAAAGGAAAATATCTTTATTCAGAAAATAGCTATTTGTTCAAAGTGTCACAATAGTTTCTATTTAGTATTTGGCAAGACTTGGACTAAATAGCGCGTGATAGAACAATAACGATTATGCTACTAGATGATTTTGATTTTGATTTTGATTTTGATTTTGATTTTGTACGCAATGATAAATTGAATTTGATTCAAATTACATATCTTAAGTAAGAGCAAGTAATGCAAATGACTTACACAAGCTGTCATCATGCTGTTCTTCTTTCTCCTGGGCCTCAATGCATTTGAGTAGATATTTAAAGGTCTCAATCTCACACGGTATCGTGAGCCCGCCGCTATGATCAAATCCGAATTCCTCAGCAGCCTTTTCAAGCAACAATTTGAATAGGGAGTGGCTAAGGTAGCTAGTTGGAATAATGAACCGTCGAAGCTCGGGCCCAACGTAGACTGCCAAGTAACCTTTTGGCACATCAGGTGGTGGTTCTGGACTTTTGCAGCTTTCCTCATCAGAGTCACAACATATGATATCTGTTATTCTTTTGTTGATTATTGGAGATTTGCTGCTACCATTACTTTCTTCAATTTTTAGGCGGGCAGTTTTTGCGCGTATTGTGACACTTTGCCACTTCTGAAGTATTTCTTTTAGTCTCACAATCTGCCTAATTCCGGTTAGTTTCGAGCCTCCACCGTACTCCATTGCCGAACTTTTTACCACAACAGTCAAATCTATGCCAACACCAAGTTCACTGGAACAGATTCTAGACTAAACAGTCACTGCATATAAATTTATACCCAGTTATAATGCGTGAGTAAGAAGGTAGAATATAAAATAATGGTTAATTAGATTCACACGAATCGTCACGCCAATAAACAATGTAATCGAGGTTGCAAAACATCATGAATTTCAAAGTCGCTTCATCGATATTTGATTAAGATTCTCTGCAATGAGTTTGAAGCAAGGACATACACACGCACACACGTCAACACCAATAATAATTTTAAAAAATAAATAAATTTAACATAATCACAAAATTAAACATAATCACAAATGAGTGTGTCGCATACAGGCATTAATTAGATATGTCAGTCTTTTTCAAGAGGTTTCGGTGTCCAACACCAACGCCGACACACCTTTTTCTAAAGGTGTTGATGTCTGACACCAACACGTACACACATTTTTCCGGAGTATCGGTGTCTAACACGGACACGAACACAGACATAGACACGTCTTTTTACATAGGTGTTGGTAGAGACAATGAGCAATTGAAAACCTTGATTGCAACAATAAGCGATTTGTATCACAACATCAAGACTTTTGGTACTACCTCAATGCAATTACATTTATTTAACTACAAGTTTTCACAATTCTAATTCTAATTCCAACTCTAATCAAAATAACATAACATAGCCCAACACAAGCAAAATTGCAATTAAAATAAAAAATGCATAAAAGAATTGGAAGATACCTAACGAGCATGAGCCATGAAACGGTTGAAAAACGGCCATGCAGTTTCTTCGGAAGTAAACCAGAGCAAGCGAGCTCTCGTGAGAGAGAAAGAACAGTAATAACCAAAAAAATGCGGTTTGTTTAAATCTGTTTTTGGAATCCAAAACCGAAAAACCAAGTTTGTGTTTGCACTTTATATGCAAAATTATCGGCTACAAAATAGGACTTTTGTTTTTCTGTTGTATTGTTTATTTTGTTTTAATGCTTTCTTGTTTCACATATCACAAAACCACTCGCTATAGCGTCTTTCTCGGGGATCCTCTGTTCTTTTTTTCTTTATGTAGAAACGGTGTCGTTTGGGTTTTGTTAGAGGGAATGTTTAGAAAATTGGGGAAATATAATATGATAAAATTAGTTGGACAGAGTGGGAGGGATGTGTTTGAATAAATTAATGAAAAAAAAGGACTGTTGATAAGGTTGCGTGGTTGTTGGGTTTTAATAGCTATAGCTTCGCATGTACGGATGTAGTGTATTAATTTTTTGGTAAATTCGTATTTAACTAATGAATTTTATTGGAGGAAATATATTCTTGTTATTATTAAGAGTAAGTGAATTTGAAACTCTCTAATTATTAAGAGTAAGTGAATTTGAAACTCTATAGTGAGGAGAGAAAAAAAAAATAATAAAGAAAATAAAAATTTATATTATTAAATTATATAAATAATGAAATAAATTAAAATTATTTATATACAATTTTAATTGGTCTTGAGTCTACACAATTTAGATTATATTTAAATATTAAATCTAATATAATATAATATAATATAATATTTTAACTAATTTAATTTAATATTTCAACACACTCTTATAATCTAAGTTGTCAAACATTCTCAAAAATAGTCAATCTGAATTATTTTTAATTTCTTTTTCAAATTCAGGAATTTGTCAATCTTCAATCCTTTGATGAAAATGTCGGTCAACTGTGCTTCCCTTGAGCAATGTCTTACTTCAAGTTCACATCGATTTACCTTTTCCCTCAAGAAGTAAAACTTTGCTTCAATATGTTTACTTCTTCCATGCAGAACAAGCTGTTTCTTCACTTCGACCTTTATTTCTTCAAGCACATATATGATCCAAATTGCTTGACATGGAGCATAGAATTCTGTTATATATTCGGCTTCACAAGATGATAATGCCACCACGGGTTGTTTCTTCGAACACCATGAGATTGGGGCATCACATATTTGAAAGAAAAATCCAGTTGTGCTTCTTCGATCTCCCTTATCTCCACACCAATCAGCATCTGAAAAATAATTAACTATTGCTTCTTTGTTTTTAGAATCTCGTCGAAATAGTATTCCACAGTTTATCGAACCCTTCAAATATCTTACAGTTTACCTTGCTCTTCTTCGACTCGTCAAAATCTGCCAACCACTCCTTTCGACCAGTCATGTGGTTCGAGCAGCCAGAGTCAAGAAACTAGATTTTGGATTCGACATGGTTATCTGCAACTGCAGCCATAACCACTATACCACCTTCAGAATCATCTGAATCTTTGCGTGCAAGGTTCGCTCATTCGTCCTTGCTTGTCGATCCCTTGTCTTTTCTGTACCAACAATTATTGGCTATGTGGCCCCATTTTTCACAATTATAGCATTGCACACCTTTTTTTAATCTTCTTTGCCCTTTCGATAGTTTCCTCCTCCTCCTTTCAAAGATTTAGAAGCTCCATCTTTGACTTGATGTTTGTGAGGATTCGACCAAGACTTCTTGCCCTGAGTCTTGTCGAACTTGCCTTTGAATTTGTTGGAACCATCATCCTCTTTCCATGACTGAGTCTGTAGAGCCTGTATCGAGTCTTGCACTCCTTTCCTTTCGATAATCCTCATCTCATGCGCCTCCAACGAACCAACTAAATCTTCCACTTTAGTGGTTTCAAGATTGTTAGATTCTTGAATAACTACGATAACATGATCAAAGTGAGAGGTCAGTGTTCTCATTACCTTCTCAACTATCATCTTATCAGTTATGGTTTCACCACAACCCTTAACGAGATGAACGGGTTTTTGAACCTTCGACACATATTCTGCAACATTTTCATCTTCTCCCATCGATAACAACTCATATTGTCGGTGCAAGGTTTGTAACTTGACAACCCTGACTTTCTCACCTCCTTCGTAATACTTCACCAGAATATTCCATGTCTCCTTCGGTGTTTCAGCATGAGAGATTCTGTCGAAATTAGCAACATTGATCGCCGTCTGAATGCAATAAGCAGCCTTGCAATCTTTCTTCTTGAATTTGCTGTGGGATTTTTTCTGTTTGTCAGTTGCATTTGCAGCCAGCGCAAGAACACCGTCAGTAACCACTTCTAGGGTTTCATGGAAGCCAAACAAGGATTGCATATGTTTTTTCCACCGGATCCAATTCTTTCCGTCAAGCATTGGAAGAGAATTCAGAATTCCCTTATCACTAGTCATCTTCGCAGCGGTTGATTCACTTGCCCTAGAAACACGATCTCTGACTTGAAATTCTTGAAAACTCGATCAAGAACAATAACCAGAAGCTATGGATACCAATTTGTTGGTGCGTGAGCCACTTTAGTGAGGAGATAAAGAGGGAATAATAAAGGAAATAAGAATTTATATTATTGAATTGGACAAATAATGATACAGACTAGGACTATTTATATACAATCCTAATTGGGCTTGAGTCTACACAACTTGGATTATATTTAAATATTAAATTTAATCTAATCAAATCTAATATAATATTTTAACAAATCTAATTTAATATTTCAACACACTCCCATAATCCAAGTTGTCAAGCATCCTCAAAAATAGTCAATCTAAACTATTCCTAATTTCTTTCTCAAATTCAGGAATTTGTCAATCTTCAATTCTTTGGTGAAAATGTAGGCCAATTTTGCTTCACTCGAGCAATGCCTTACTTCAAGTTCACCTCGATTTACCTTTTCCCTCAAGAAGTGAAACCTTGCTTTAATATGTTTACTTCTTTCATGCAGAACTAGATTCTTCACCAGATTTATGGATGACTCATTGTCGATTTGCGATACAAGAGGTTTCTTCACTTTGACCTTCACTTCTTCAAGTACAGATCTGATCCAAATTGCTTGACATGCATCATAGGATCCTGTTATATATTCGGCTTCACAAGATGATAATGCCACCACAGGTTGTTTCTTCGAATACCATGAGATTAGGGCACCAAATACTTGAAAGAAATATCCAATTGTGCTTCTTAGATCTTCCTTATCTCCACACCAATCATCATCTGAAAAACAATTAAATATTTCTTCTTTGTCTTCATAATCTTTTCGAAATAGTATTCCACATTTTATCGAACCCTTCAAATATCTCACGATTCTTCTTGCAGCCTTCATATGTGACACTCTTGGTTCACTCATATATTTGCTTACTAATCCTACAACGAAACCTATATCAGGTCAACTGTTGCAGACATACCTCAGAGATCCCATAATTTGCTTGAACAAAGTTACATCGACTTTGTCTTCCTCTACATTCTTCTCCAATTTTACACTTGGTTCGACAGGTGAGGATGCAGGATATGAATCTACCATTCTAATCTCTTGAGTATTTCTTTGACATACTTCCTTTGATGTAGCACCATACCTTTCTTTGACATTTGAAATTCCATACCTAAGAAATAAGATAATTTTCCAAAATCATACATTTCAAATTCCTTCATCATCAGTGAAATTCTGGTATCAGATATGTGATGTCAAAGGAGTTGTCACGACAAAAATATCCAAGGACAATATAAAATGCAACAATATTAAAAGCAATAAAACCACAAGGGATTGTTAATCCAGTTTGATGTACAACAACACCTACTCTAGGGGCTACCAAGCTAGGGACAAATCCACTAAATAGTATCAATTCATAGACCCTCAGTAAACAACCAGTTTACGATCTAATCAATTAATCACTACCCGTGCTATACTTCTACCTAAGGAACACCTAGGTATGAGACCATCCTCAAATCCTTTCAATCACTAACATTGAAGAACAAAAAAATATTAAGTTTTAAAGACTTCAATCATTCAATACTAAAAAGCTTATAAATGATCCACAATTAATAACTCAAGTATTAAACCAATATGTGATACGGTGGCAGAACCGACTGTTAATACTGGTTTGCGTTTTGTATTTGCAAATGTCGTGGTAAGAAAGAGTCGCCACCGACTTTTATTTTATCCAATCAGGAAA